TTCTTTTAGTTCTATCTTCTTTCTTTTCTATTCTTTTTGATTTGTATTTGATTTGTACTTTTTATATATTTTAATAAAAGTTCTAATAAAGAAAAAGAAAAAGTGAGGAGCAGCAAAAGACAAAGAAAGAAAAGAAATCTAAAGAAGCAACTTTAGATCTTCTTTGCAGCAGTTATAGACATCATAGTTACAATCTCCACACTCCCAAATTACATATCTTGGTTTCCTTCTTCCCATAAACAACCCCTTTTTAATCAGTAAATCCAGAAATCACCAGTCATCTTTATCTATTTTCAGCAAAAAGTCCATAAACAGTTTCCAATCTTTTATAATAGTAATTATTGTTCCCTTAATCAAACAAGTCAATTTAGCCATTTCTGCAAACCCTGTCATCTTCACAATCTATTCCTCCATTATGGGTATTTCTGACTTCTTCCATCGTTGTGCTCTTTCTCCAGTTTTTTAGATGAGGTGACAAAAACCATACTATTGCAAATACAGCTTCAGTATAACATTATAAAAGGCATTAGAATACTTTTAAAATCTTCCATATTTTAGAATTCAGGTTTTAGTTGGCTGATAGCTTAGGCTTTTTCTGAGATAGGACCACTGAGTACACTGAACAATAGTGTGACATCCTCTGAGCAGCTCCCCTAAAACAAATATCCCCAAACTGGTGCACTTAAGATGTTGGACTTCAACCTCCCATAATCCTCCAGGGCCATGGCCATATTATGGGAGTTAGAAATCCAACAGATTTGGGAAACACCAGACTGGACTATACAACCCTACTCTGTAAGTGGCCTCAAACAGCAAACTAGAGAGGAGAGATGGTCACACAACCCAAACTGACCAAGATGGGGGGCGGGGGGGAAGGAATGAGACTCTTTTAGACAGGAAAATGTGTCTAAAAAGCAGATGAAGGACAATAAACATCCATGAAAACCTGCATATCAGTTATTATGAGTGCATTCTTCCAATTTCTGGTGGTGTCTTTGAAGCTGTTCCTTGCTCACATACTTCATAAAATATTTCTGAGAATACTTTAATAAGAGTCGAAAGCACAGCTACCATCAGACTTTTTCTTTGAGCTAGATGAATATCCCACAAAATGAACCTAAGCTGGTTTCCATGATAATCTACACCTGCCACCAACTGTTTCTTTTCCGGTATGTACCTACAAATGAACCACTTCAAGACTTTTCAGTCCACTTCTGTGTTTCCAGTTGTGTTCAGATCAGCTGAATAAAATAGGTCTTATTATTTCCCAAAGAATTGTCCATGACATGAGGGTTGGTCTAATAAACTTCACTATCATTAATAGTACATACTCCAACTTCTCTCATTCTAGAATGTCCATCTGTCTTCCAAGTGTTTTAAAAAATGAATAAAACCAGAATGCAAAGAAGAGCTAGGATGGTAAAAGTAAGGAGGAAAGTATGATACGCGTAACTTTTGGCCAACCAAGTTGAATACAGTCCATCAATCATGTGTAAATCCATCCTACCTGGCATTTGGTTGCTAATGCCATTTGCCCAGGACTGCAAAATAGCAATCAACAGCGATAAAGAGGTCCCTGTATCTTCAGAGTGGGCTGGAAAAGCTCCAGAACTACTGTCAGTCAGAATAAAACATCCTGTCTTATGTGGCAGCTGGGCTGTTGATTTGTTGGATCACCTATTGGACTAATCTTGGATATAATATAGGAGAGAACACCACTAACCAAGCCGCAGCCGATGTATCTTGTCAGCAAAGATGATGCGGAACCAGCCAGGCTCATTGCACTCAAATGAGTTACCAGGAGAGAGTAAGACCTTTTTCTCCAGGAAGCGCCTCCAGAGTATCATTTCCTCTTCAAATGTTCCTTTTCTTAAATACTGGAATCAGTTAACAAGAGAGTAAAAGAATAAGGAAACAATCTCTTACACCCACAAGAAGGAATTGTATCATTCTCTCCCGAACTGCAGAAAATTTAACACACACAGGATGGGTAGAAAACCTGTGGCTTTTCAGATGTGGCACAATTATAACTCCTAGGAACCTCAGCCAACCCAGCCAATAGTGAGAGATGCTGAGATCTGTAGTTCAGAAACTTTTGGAAACCACAGATTCCCCATCTCTGCCCCAGAGAATAAGGGTAGACTGAGAAACTAGCAAAAAAGTAAAAGATCTGCTCCAACAAGAAAAGAGTGGCATTTATAATGTGTGTGTATGTGAGGATGCAAATGTGTATGCAATGCATGTACACTCACAATGATGAGTATGTTTCAGCCCTCCCAAACTTGGTGCTCTCCAAATGTGTCAAAAACATAAGTCCCACAATTTTAAAAGTGTGTGGCAAATACGTATATTTGAACTACAACCATTTTTTCCCAAATTTATAATTTTAGATATTGACTTGATTTCTGCCAACCCTTTCCTGAGACCAGCAAGGGAATTTCTGGCTTATCTAATCCATCATTCTGTTTCCCACAAAGGTCAAACAAACTGGATTATAAAAGGCAATTGTTGTTTTTGCACCATGATAAACTAAGTGGAATCTGAAACCAGATGCTGGATACAAACAATAGAGAAGACCAGCTGCCTTCACACCCTACTTGTAAAAAGAACCATCTGTTTTTCCACTAGTGAACAGATACAGGGCCACTAAAGACCACTGACCTTTCGGAAGTCAATCCATATAAAAAAACCTGCACTGCGGTTGAGGAAGGGAACACCAAGGGTTTTGAGTTCATCTGTCACAAAAGTGTGCGCAGCTTTCAGTCTCTCATGGTTGGCCCGTAAGTATACTTGGTTGATCCAATCTAGCCAAGAATAGAAAACATTTAGCAAAGACACAAATATGTATGTACTACTGCTTAATTTCTAAAAGCCTTGTAGGTTAATGGATGAAGACTACATTAAAAAATACTGTCTGCCTGCTGCATTTGATCTGTGATAATTTATTTGTAGACATCATTCATCACTGATACTTTACCAAGCAAAGAACATGTATGTGTGAACCAGACCACAGAGAAAAAAGTGGACAAGAATTTCCAAGGCTATATATTTGATGTACTTGTGTGCGTGAACACACACATAAGTTTAAGTGAAGGAGAACAATATGAACATGATCTTGGTGCAATGTGAGATTTTTTTTTTTTTATTCCCAGATTTGTCAAATTGGCAATCACCTTCAATATACTTCCTAAAATCCTATGATACATGACAGAATTGTGTCGGATATACATTTTATAAATAAAACATAGGAGCACCTGTAGCAAAAGTCTCTCCTCAAGAGGAGCAATGAATATAGGTGCTCCTAGTTTACTCTTTGCCTCACCTCTGTCTCTGAGTAGCTGGGCAATTTTGTATTGCATAGGCCCACAGATACCATGAAGGTAACCAAAAGAAGCCACACCCTTGATAACATCTTGGTTTAGCGTGTACAAGGTACCAAACCGGATTCCAGAGGCAGCAAAATCCTGTAAAGGGAGAGAAGAATTACCAATCCAGCTTCCATAATATAAATAATATTTTGATTCAACCAACATTCATAGTCCAGGTATTTGAAGGAGTACCACCTGAATATTAGTAGAGTAGTACGTACCTTACTAACCCCCCATATTACATGGGTACGTTGTGGATCAGGCAATCTGAATGTAAGGAGAATACATATATGAATATTTGCAGTAAATAATGGAGGCTTCTTGATCAACCTTTTCCACTCTGGTGCTTTCTAAATGTATTAAACTACAACTCCCAGAATTTCCAGACAGAAGGCCATGTTACTTTGGAGTTATGGGAGTTATAGTAAAACACATTTCAAGGCATTAAGTTAGGAAAGATTGTTCTTGATCATCAACCCAGAGTTCCCAAACAACAAAGAACATACTTAATAATTATAAATATTGTTAATGGAAACTCTGTTCCATAGGGCCACATTAATGACCTCTTAATTTTGTGAATATGGAAAAAGTGGAGAAGCTGAACATTCTCCCTATTTAAAAGTCAACAATATTCTCTTCCCCTTAAGCCAGTGTTTCCCAATCTTGGCAACTTTAAGATGTGTGGACTTCCCACTTCTTAAAGTTGCCAAGGTTGGGAAACACTGCCCTAAACTTCTATTTGCATTTCAGGGAAGTGATCACTAGAAGTAAAAGCAGAAGCTTCTTAGAGGAGGCTTCTGTCAAGACTATGGCAGGATACAAATGATTAAATCTTCCCTTCCCTTGATCCACTGATCAACAGTAATTCCATAAGTTACATTTAGTCTAGCAGTCCAAAAGCAAAAAAGTGGCCAAGGCCTCCTTTCTTCCTGAAAGCGATGTATTCCCCAAATGTGTTTTAGGAAGGTAAAGGGGAAAAATGCCCTTGAGTTGAGCTCAACTCCTTTCCCTGTATGGATGCATCTATCCAATTTTCTTAACAGCTTTATGGAAATGGTTTGCCATTGCCTTCTTCTGGGATAGCTTTCAGCTTCCCAGGCAACCAGGTGTCCCTCATCAAAGTGACTTAATCAGGGCTGACCATGCTTAGCTTCTTAGATGAATGTTGGCAGGTGCTAGAAAAGTTCGAGAAAAATGTTGAGAACAACATAAAGGGAGAAGTTAAAGAGCTGCTCTCTCAGTGGTGCTTTCTAAAGTGAGGAAAAATCAGGTTACAAAGAAACCTTTGAAGCCACATGATATGCTGGTGCAGAAGCACAAAAAACTACTGTTCTCATTTAGGGAATATAGAATATTTTACTTCCAACAACAATTGCCACTTCTGAGCTGGAAGGACACTATTATTATTCACAGATTGTTTGATTATTTATTTATTTATTTAATTCCATTGATAAGGCTTCCAACTCTATAACGGTTTGCTAGTGTTGGTGACCTTTGTTACTAAATGACTGAAACTATAAAGCAGACCTTACCTGTCCATTTCCAGCACACTGTGAAATGTGGCAGAATCATCAAAAACTGACAGCATATAGATCTCATCAACAATCACATGCAACTCATGTCTAGAACGGAGAAAAATAAAAACAGAGAATACTTCAGCAATTGGAAAGAAAATGACTTGCTCTCATGAAATAGGCAAGAAGTTTTTGTTCTTTCATGGACAGTCAGTAGAATGATTGACTAGAAACGAGCATCCATGGTTCTGAGAAAATTTGAGAATAAGAATGGAGTTCAAGCATCAGTGACTCAAGGATACGCTCATTGCTAGAGATTACAGCAAAACCTCCAAAGATATTACAGTCTCCCCATAAATGCTTGGATTCACAAAGCAGCCCACTGATAAGAGTTAGACTGGTTTAACTCTTTCAGAAGAAGTAATGTAATGAAATTAATGAAATGGAATGCAAATCAGAAATCCCAGCCCCATGATTTTTGCTCCTTCAGCTTTATCATTGTCTACCTGAGTACCTCCTATTTCCTTAAATTCTTTTTTGTTCCCTTTTCCATGACGTTTTTGGCTTTAATCTTTAGCCTAAGGGTCCAACGGAATTTAGGTCTTAGATAGATAGATAGATAGATAGATAGATAGATAGATAGATAGATAGATAGACAGACAGACAGACAGACAGACAGACAGACAGACAGACAGAGACAGACTTAGGCACAGATGACATATTTTGGGGGAAATCAGCCAAGAAAGCTACTCTGGTAAAATTCCTGGACCTCTTAGTAAGATTCTGTCCTGTCAGATAAAAATTCCTTTTGAAGAGGCTGTTCTGAATGGAAACTGGGGGTATTGCTATTCAGTGGTTCTATTCCTACTGAGGTGGATATTTCAAGATGGTGCCAAATTTCTCATTTCATGGCAGGTCCACTATAATAATTAAATAGGCCAGTTTCCTTTTCCATACTGTTCAAAATCCACATATAACTCTTGAGATCATCCAGGAATGCAATCTTAGAATCATTAATTCTATTCTTCCTTTTCATCAAGTTCAGGTAAAGCTGGTCATAATCTATATTAGCATCCAAAATCCCAGAAAGTCCTAGAGAGCCTAGGATGCTATTATTTTAGGATCACCTGCTCTCATATAAATCTGCTCCCACTTGAAAGTTATGAGTTATGATATTTGCATTCCAGATTCTGGCCAGCAACCAACAGAAAAGTCTCTAAATACTTTTAAAGTCCATAATGTAACAACTGTTTGTAATATGCAGAAATGTTCAACACTAACTAAGCAGCATATCATATTTCAACTTTTGGACCATCAGATGCTCTAAAACTTTTAAAATTGTCATACCTTTTTGCAAATTCCAAGTAGTCTTGTAACTCTGAGAGAGAATAGATATCCCCCAAGGGATTTTGTGGATTCAGGAGAATTAAACCCCTTACCTTGACACCCTATAAAAGAAACAAGAGTGTTTAAAAGTGCACATATATGTGCATATGGGAACTAAACACATCAGCATATCAAACAAAGCCTGTCAAGAAACCTGCTTATCCTGCAGGAGTTTGATTTTAAAAAGCTGACTCTTTTTATTATTAAGTGACTGAAGCATATTTATTATTAAGTGACTGAAGCATATTTATTATTAAGTGACTGAAGCATATTTATTATTAAGTGACTGAAGCATACAGTTTGCTTTTCCTCTTTAAATCAATGCATTCTACAGTGTGGCAAATTTCCTTTTATGCACGACCCTGCTGGATTTAAGTCCCACCTGCTTCCCCCAAAGAATTAATCTCAAAGACAAATAACTGCACGCTTCCCTTAGGAGTGCTTTGGAGAAATAATGCAAAAAAGCATACTGTAAGATTAGATCAGAGATTTCAGTCTTCCAATGTCCCTGGTGCCTGCCCCATCTGATTTAATAAATCAAGTCTTGAGTGATTTAGAGCTACAGACTCTTTCTATTTCACTCTAGAATATTAAACATTTCTTTAATAAAAATTATTAAGCAATTGAATATTAAAAGAAAATATGTTTAATTGGTAAACACCCCCAGACACAAAATGCAGAAAGGATAATGAAATAGTACAAGTAATTTGAACTTCTCTATGTAAGTGATCCATACTGAAGAAAAAAAGTTCAAAAGTCTTTCTAGTGAATGTTGAAAAAAAAAATTATGAGAAAAACATGAATGGGAATCTTTGCTAAAGCAAATTTCTTTATTATATCTTCATTTATTCTAAGTCAGATTAGCAAGAGGATACTTGTAGGTAGCACTCTGATCTTCATTTCACTCAAAGTCAAACAGGATTGGGGAAATTTTCACTGGTTGAAGGTAATACTTCAGAAAGGTTTATTCATTCTAAAGCTCTAACATAGAAGAAGGAAAATTGCCATAGATCAGTCCACACCACACTTGGCAGCCAATGTGCACAAAAATAGTTGAGGCTGATAGACTAGCTTGGCCACTGAAATAATTTGAAGCCACGTCTAAAACATGTGTAGTTCACTCCATAACCTCCTTTTGCCATGTCCCCCTATCCAGTCCTGGGCCAGTATATCTAGCAAGAATTGAATCAGCAAAGTTCACCTCTGATTGTGCATCCTGCAAGGCCTTTTTTAGCTTATCCACCGTAAGCTGGAATGGACGGGTGCAACTGCCAGTGACCTGAAACATACCAGACAAGAGACTGAGTAGTGGCTTTCAGACCCATTGCATGTAACAATAATAAGGAATATGGTTAACCCACTTCAAGGTGGCATCATTCACAGAATTTGAGGTCTACCCTGTACTTCAGGATGGATATTTCAGCAGGACAAAAAGAATCTTGGAATACTAATCCAAACACAAGCATATACTCTTTATCTATATCACAAACTGTTTACATCTCCATGTCCCTACAATCCATTTTAAATTCACAAACAGTTGCTCTCAAACCTATCTACATCTACATCACGTAGCAGAATCGCTAACATTCTGCTGGTCCAACCTAACAGAGAACATTCAGTCTATGTGGGGGTCAACCCAACTGTTTAAAAGCTTACTGTCCTGTGAACTATTAAGTGCTATGGCCAAAAAGCTGAATGGAGCGCCATGAGATTCCAGAATGTGATGGTCATCCATACCCTTCCTTACCTGGCTATCTAAATAGGCATAAACCAACTTGACATTGCCACACAGGGACACATTTCTACTGATTCCTCCATAGAAAGGAGTAGCAATCAGGAACGCTTCTGAAATCAAAAGAATAAAGACAGTAACCCACTGCTGCTGCTGTTGTTCCTTATATTCACTGAGGATCAGGTCAATTATTCATAAGCTTTGGTCTATATGGTAATTTCAGGATTAATTTTGACTCTACAGTCTGTAGTTCCAGTGGTTTTAATGTCATTTCCATACCTCAAAGACAAAATACACATTCCTCAGTGGAATGGAAAGGATGAGGATTTTTTAAAAATCTGTACTCAAGAATTCAGTCAAATTATCAAACAAGAAGTTAATTAAAAAAAAAACTAAGGCAGGGGCAGGGAATCTATTTTCAGCTGTAAAAGTACAAATTAGGTGTCTTACCCCTTGCAGAAACATAATAGACTTACTTTCTCTCTTTTAGTGAAGAAAAGATGAAAAACTGCGTTGCTGTAAAAGAGCTGTTTTATTGGGGAAGCTTTGGAGATGGTGCAAAGATGGTGGCTGCATAGTTTGTCCACCATGTGAGATGAAGCCATACCCAGCTTGCTGAGTACACTTGTGTTGACTATAACTCCCATCACACACTATCACCATGGGCATTAACATATGGAAAGCTCTGCTAGAGAAATTCAAGTAGCAGCATATGAGAAAAAGGACTAACAGAACAACCTCAAACATCCATTCCAGTGAAAAAGGGAACACAACTCATTCATCTCCCATCACTGCTTTCTTGCAGTGTCAGCAGAGAGAAAGATAGGAGAGAACCTTGTCCTGAGGAAGATATGAGCACTCTGTGCTGAGTCCATGAAAATATATACTTTTCTCCTTTGGGGCTTAAAAAAAACAAAACCTTGTGATTTCCTGGTTTGTCACTTCTAGATAACATTTAAAGCAGAAGAGAATTATCCTGAAAGGAAAAATGAATTGATAAACATGAAAAGAATTAAATTCTCTGAAGCCCTATACTCAGATTTAAGATGGGAATATCTACATGGCCACTTTTTTTTCTGTCTGTCACTGTATCCTTGGAATGAATGCATATACTAAGTCAAAAGTATGAATGCTGTGCACATGTTATGAAGTGAAGCAAGATTAAGGAAAAAAAAAGAAATGAGTTCCATTATATAATTCTATAGAGATATTCTGGCACAGATACTCTTTTTTCACAGAGTGCATGTCCTTTTGGCTCATAAATCATTGGCAGTATACAAATACAGTAAATGAATAAATATCTATGTATTTTTGGTTTCATCACATGACAGTGTCTATGGAGTATACTGTCATAAACAAGCAGGTTAAAAAACAACAACTTGTAAATAGCAACCATGGCAACTAATTAATCAAAGGTCTTCTCCTGATCTGTCCTGATTAATGAGAGTTATTCAGTACAGGCTCCTGTGCTACATCTGACATCATACTTAGAAAAACACAAGCAATTTCACTCCTTTTCTGCAAAAGTCCTACTTTGCGGCCATCTAAAAAACCTGTATTTTAAATTGCTCCAGCTCACTTACCGTCTGGGTCACAGAGAACCATAGCCAAGGCAGAAAACAAAGATCCGCAGCCATTCAGCAGAATCACCTACAGAAAAGACATTCAGACAGACATTACTTTCTTTCTGGAGAGACTATTCTTCCAATAAGATTTCTAGCATCAAGGATTATCCATTCTCTTCTATCTCCAGAATGTACATAAACACACTACTATAGTGCCATTGCTGAGTCTTTACAGAAGGAAAGCATGCTCTCATGACCCCTACTTATCCTGGCTTATTTGATCTGGTTGAGGAGCACCAACCAGATAAATCAAGGTAGTGATGACTGCACCCTTCTGTGATAGTGCTGCCAGCACTCCTTGGATCCAGAAGCTTTTGCCAACTATCACCAGACATCACAAGTGCTCCCTTTAGGGCAAGATATCTGAAAGGATATCGTATGTGCATCTACAGACATTCTTAGAGAGTAATTATGTTGACCCCTTTCCAACTAGGTTCACCTTGATTTTGGGACGGAATCAGCCATGATCATCTTGATAGATGACCTACTGCAGAAGACAGAGAGAGTGCAACTTGTTTGATATTTCAGCGGCTTTTAATATATAGACTAGGATATCTTCCTTAACCACTTCTGTGAGTTGGGATTGGGAAAACTATATTACCAGGGTTTTACTTCTACCTGCCAAAAAACCTCAGAAAGTGATACAGGGTGACTGTGCCTTTAGATCCTATCAATAAAAGGCACTATTTTATGTCCAGTGCTGTTTAACATCTATATGAAGCTCCTTGGGGCAGTCAAAAGATGTATTGGGTTTAGGAGTCATCCATAAGCTGATGACATTCAATCTACATTACTTGAATCAAACAGGTTCCTAATCTGAACTAGTATATTGATGCAGTGATAGGATGAATGAGATATGAATGAGGGCCAACAGACAAAGACAGAACCCTGACAACAGGGTGATTCTGAATGAGGTGATTTTTCAGTTCTGAATGGAGCTGCACTCCCTCAGAAAGAACAGGCACATAGTTTACCAGTAATCGTAGAGTCATCACTGTCATTCTAAAGACAAAGAATCAATTGGAGTTGGGTGGCCAATAAACTTAAATAAACTAAAACAAACAAACAAACAAACAAATAACCAGCTAGATAGGAACAGCAGTTGATATCTAATAACCTCACATTTAGATGTATAGTAATGGACTCTATATGGGTCTGCCTTTGCCCTTGACCTGGCAGCTGCAGCTGTGCAGAAGGAGGTGGTCAGACTGCTGAGTGAACATTGGTTATGCTCACACTCTCTGCCAATTAGCTATGGATCCAGGTTCCAGGTATGTTCTTGACCTAGGAATACTGAACAACTTGGGACCAGGATAGCTAACAGATTACCATTACAAACTGGGTTAATCATGAGGACCACCTCAGCAGGTTTTCCAGTGTGTGCTGAGAACTGCACAGTGCCATCTTGACAGATGGGCTATTTTGGCAGATGGGTTATTTTGGCAGATGGGCAGCTATATAAGTATGTTAAATAAACCAATAAACTGGTCCTTCTCTGAGGTAATACTTTCTGTAAAGCTTTCTACCATGAATTTGTAATTCACTTAGAAGTGCATCCATGGATAGGAACTACAGGGCATATTCCCCTTAGGCTGAACACTCATTCTGGGCTGAGTTACCAAGTAAACTGGTGTCACCCAGCTTCCACACATAGGAAAACAGTGACCCCAAGAAAGGAAAACACCTCCCGAGGCTCAGATTCCTGAGGCTACAGCAACTCCTACTGCTTGCCCCCTTCTAACTCAAACAAGATGTAGCCAGAAGCAACCACACTCCCAGGGAGCAATAGAGAGGTAGAGAAAGAGAAGGGCTGGTATCTGTCTCTCTTTCCTGCTTTTCTACTGCTATTGCTCTGCTCTGTCTAACCTTTTTCATCAGAGTGGTAGCCTGGTCTAATCTGGCCTGGCCTAGTCAACTTGCATTTGGGGGAAACCAGTCTTTCTACAGGTAGTCCTTGTTTAGCAACTGCTATTTGGGACCAGCAACTCGGTTGTTAAGTGAAGCAGTTGCTAAGTGAGCCTGCGACTGTGCTTCTGATCTTACTTCAGCTTTCCTTTGCTTTATAGACTTCCAAAGGTTATAACTGTGAGGTAGCAAAGTTACTTTTTCACCACTACTGTAGCTGCGAGCAGTCCCTAAATGAGGCAGTCACTCAATGAGGACTACCTGTATCTCTATGGAAAGGTCATCAATAAGAAAATGGAAGAGTAGTCCTGTTGGGTTGACTTTATGGTGTGTGGCTGTACTGTTACTGAGGAACAAACACTTGCCAGTACTTTTAGTGCAGGATATGCCACAGGTTGTCCAACGAGGAATGTGAATGAAGAAAAAGAATCCTTACCAGATAGCACTTTGGATGAGACCGCAAAGCAGAGGTCAGGGACACTCAGATACCTTGTTATTTCAGAGCAAACATTTGAACTGCTGTACTACAATTTAAAACTGGGTCCAGATTTTGCAGCATTCGATGCTCTGCCACTCAGATGAATACTCCTCTTCCAAACACTTAATGAGATAAGAATGCCTATGAAGCCTTTGTTCAGACTACCTTCACCAACTAGAAGAATTTTAATAGCTGCCAGCATTCTAACTTGTAACACGCAGCAGCTATCCGTGCTGTAGTGGCTCTAAATCCGAAGTAAACACTTGATTCCGTTTTTCAGGAAGCAAACAAAAGAAATGCAAGAGGCTAGAAGAGACCTGCTGACCATCTTATCATGACTTCAGTGTCTAGTCGGGGTGGTAGTTCACAGTGTTCCACAACTGTTCCTTGGAGAGGCTGAAAGAGCAGATTATCTGCTGTAATCATGGGTGAATTGCAGATATTAGCCTGGTGGAGAAGGTTTTATTTTCTTTTTGCATTGCTACAGTGGATACGTGTATTGAGAAATTGGGGGGGGGGGTGAGAGGTTAGAAAACTTGTGACACAAAAGTACAATCTCTGCTGTCTGCATCAATCTGCAACTTCTTAAAGCTGCATCTTTTCCCAGCACCGTGACCTTGCCCCCTACACACCCCTCACATCTAGATATAGTTGTCTGACATAGAATGGTAATCACTTGCTGAAAAAAAACTAGACAAACCAGAAAGTAGGTTGACTTACATTTTCTGCTTTGAGAGGTGCAGCTGCTTTGCTGTAATAGGTCAAAAATCGAGCCACTTCCTCTCGCACACTGAAGGAGATATAAAAGCGGTCAGAGTTTTCCAAGGGAAATCGTCACTCCTCTCTAGGCTGTATTGTGGAAAACACAGATTTGGGCTTTCTGACAAAAGAGGGAGGAGGTTCATGACAAAGGCTACTTACAACAAATGGCCCTTCCAGTCAGGATACTGCAGCAGGGACGGCTCTATGAGGTTCATGCTGCTTTGTGTCAGCTATCAGCAATGAGAAGGAGAGGACAGAATTATTAAGCAGAGAATATATGTAGCTCAGGGTTGAGCTGTAGAGTCTTTTGGCTTCTCTGAGCTTGGTTGTTCTCTTGCAGATGCTTCATTACCCGGCTAGGTAACATCTTCAGTGCTAGAAGGGAGTGGGGTTTGCTCTCTGTTTATATACAGTAGCTTGCCCTGTCAGTGTTGGTGTGGGAGTTGTTTTTGGTAGTTCCTAGATTAGGCTGTTGTTTACTGCTTTGTTTGTTTGAGTTGGTAGTTCCTTGATTAGGGTATTGTACAATACCTATTGTACAATGAAACGTCTGCAAGAAAACAAGCAAACTCAGAGAATCCCATGGACTCTATTAAGCATAGTGCCAGAAACTGGTCTGGAAATCAGCAAGTAAAAGCTATGAAGATTCCATAATTTCCTTCTTCACTTGGAAGGCATTCTTGCAAATGAACTACACACACAGAGGCTGGGTTTGCACATTATGATTCATTTGATTTTGGCTTAATATGTGGTGTGAACCCAATCAAGAGTAATTTGTCCAAGAAACTACAATTGTACAAACCATGACTTGGAATAATATGTGAAAGGCTATGATTTTATTTAGTGATTTAGATCACTATAATGTTGTAATTTCACAACATATATATAAAATGCAAGCTTGACAGACATATATGTATAATGCTTAAAGAGCACTGCCATTCATTTAAAAGACAGCAGTGGCTTTGCTTCCTGTCACAATATACCAGTTTTTTTGCCTACTGCTTCCCCTCCCCACTTACTCCATGGAAAACTTTGGGGAGGGGGAGGAACTAAAGGAAGTATATCCATTTACCACAAAACCATTTGTCTGAGATTAATGGATAAAAAATAGAGTGGTGAGTGTCATTCACATGTATTAGTGACCCTGCAAAGCTCTCTAAATGGATTTCCAAAAGATCCGTGGTCCATGCCAAAGGAAGAAGCATGTGGTTATTCATGAAGAGGAGAACAAAGCCAACTAGTATCAATATAAACAGATAACAAAACAGAAAATCAATATAAGCCTCAGGTGACTCATCTGGGAAATTTACTTTGTGAAATCTTCATGAAATGCCATCACTTTCCAGTGGTGATCACTATTACTTAAGAATGAAGTGTGTTTACAATATTCTTACCTTTTTGGACATTAGATCAAAGCAGAGTTTGTTCTCACTGGTACCCAAATTAATGATACCCTGGGGATACAGATAAAAGTTTCATTAAAGACAAATATTAGTTGGTATCCTATCAGCTATCTCAAAAATTCTGTTCCATAAAACATTATCATTTCTAGAGCCAGTAAGGATTCTGGAAAGGGGATTGTGATAGAAGATACATATAGGTCAAGAGGACATAGCTTAAGTTTCATTCCACTTTTTGTTGTGAGAAACTTTTAAAGATTTCAATTGCAATTTGCCCACATTTATACTCTCCATACCACTGTATATTCTATACTATTGCTTACATTTGGAAGCTTCATTTTTCATACAGGACTCAAAGAAACTGCAGGTTAGCATCACACACACGCACACACTTATTCATTCATTCCCCATGAAAAAAAAAGTTTAGCCAAGCCACTATTTTACCCAGATAATTTTTTATGGATAAAATGTATGTTTTACATTTAAATACTACTCTATGCTAAAGAGAGATACATGGATTTATGCCATTTTATTTGCACAAAAGTCCTGTAAGCTAACTTTAACTGAGCAACAGTAAGTATAAAACAAAAAACAAACAAAATTCCAACTAAAATTAATGGCTAAGAGAGGATTTGAATCCAAACCAAATCAGTTCAACAGTTCAGCTATAATACACTGCCTATACTGATTGCTATGGAAGAATGATTAGCATTCTAATAATGGGTTTCTCAGTCAAGAAAAATGTAATGAGGCTGAATTTTTTAAAAATTCTCACATTTTGAATGAAATCCTAGGTTACGGTAGCTATTTGAAGTTTATGTAATATAAAAAGATTACACTGATTAGAGCTAGCATAGCTGGCTTTATTAAAGGATAGTAGTGTTAATGCTGTTATAATAATTTGGATGCCCTGCTGTTTTAATGCCTATCATGCGGGCAGAGTGTATTTCTTTTTTACTGTAAGCAGCTTTGGAAATTCTTCAGGACAAAAGAGTCCTTTTAAAAGAGTTTACTTTTATTTTACAGTAAAATAAAAGTATTAAATGTAAAATAAAAGTCAACTTGCAGAAAATGCTACTAAGTGTTGCTCTGAAGAAAAAGCTGAAAGCTACTTTGAAAATCACTAAAGAATCTACACTGATACTAGATTTTTGATATGACAGCAGGAAAAAGTTCACTATAATCAGTGTTTAGAATGTAATATCACCAATGAAGGGTGAAATGGAACAAAGAATTCTAAACCATCATAAAGACAGATGTTTGGGGCATATGATTTTGCTTATGGATGGGGCATATATGGTCCTGCAAATGTTGCTATATTAAAATTCTTAACACCCCAGAAAGCATGGCCATATTGAGAGATGCTGGGAGCTATAATTTAGAAATCTCTGGTGCCGATAAGCGCCTCATCTTTCAGCTAGCTTAAGTTAGGGTCTGGCCAGTATCTGGATGGAAAACTACCTGAAAAACTACCTTGAATCCATTGATGGAAGCAAAGTGGAACATAACTGCACTGCTTTGAGACAAAATATCTAGTCACGTATCTAAGTCATCTGCATAACAAATTTAGAAGCATGTGTCAAGTAAAGTATGTATCAGGACTATTCTCTCTCTTAAAAATAGAACCCAATCACAATGACTTGGTGTGGTTGGCAAACTTTCCTGGCATTCAAAAATAATCATAGTCCTTATGGATTAAAATGTTCTTATATGTCATGTTAGGAGAATTATTTTATTTATTTGTTTGTTTGTTTTTCAAATTTGTCACTGCCCATCTCACTGCAGAGCGACTCTAGATGGTTTACAGTAAAAAGAATAAATATTAGTTAAAATAGAATAAGTATGAATTAAAATACATTACAAAAAGACTTCCTATATAAATAATAAGTATCTTAGATTTGGGGAGTGTCTTCAAGGAGCTAGCCACCCCCAGGGTTGGTTATATCCCCTCTCGCCCCATGCGAGATGGCAGAGACAGGTCTTCAGCCCTTTCTGGAAGGCAGGAGGAGTGGGGGCCTGCCTCACCTCTGGGGGAAGAGTGTTCCACAGGGCAGGGGCAACGGCAGAGGAGGCTTTCCTCCTGGGCCTCACCAGTCAACATTCTTTTGTAGCCGGGGTCTGTAACATACCTTCTTTGCCTCTTTAACTCTAAAAACATGCCATTTAAAAATAAATAAAACAAGACATTTTCTTCTAATGTTCATTTCTGCCTGGTGGGGCAAGGTGGGTTCATGGAAATTGTAGAGGAAATTATTAAACCACTACCTCCCTAGTGTGGCTTCTGCCTAAGAAAAGCTCATCTTTCTGTTAAGTTTTTCAAAAAAAAGTTTAGTTCAAGATGGTTGTTAACTCAGTAAATAAATGCCTTGATAGAGTTAGGGAATAGCAATTATCTTCCCTTCTGTCCTACATGACATACCCACCATGATAGTCCATGAATGAACAGGCTTTCCATCCACATTGGTTGTAGAATCCATAAAACACTCTCAACCTCTCAGATAAGCCTAACTAAGTCATTAAAACTCCATACTAAAGAGCTGACACTTTGTTAAAGCTTTTCTTTCTTGATGGCAAATAATAAATAGCCATTGAAAATCAGTATGCTTGTTTAGAAACAAGTAACTGAAAGACTTTTACTCACACTGGGGTTTTTGTCCTCATCATACTTGTCAGCATGGTAGACCTCGTACCCCTCTTCTGAGGAGGTCCAAACAATACTCGCACTATTGCCTCGGACAGAGAGGTAAGGGCTGCTTTGAAAATCAGCTCGGTAGCAGGAACCATGCACACTGGCTATCCTGTCCGATCTGGTTTGCCCTAAATGGAGGGCCTTGGCTTCTTCTGACATCCGTTCTCCTATTTCCGTGGCATTGGAAAATGCCTGGTTAAGGTCCACATTCGGAGCCACTCCGGTTACAGAAGAGCCCTGATTGCCCTGCCTCAAGATGCTCAGCATTTGGGCAAAGACGTTGAACATACGGAAATCATGATCCCGTTCCAGTTCAAAGCGTCGCTGCTCCAGCTGGATTCGGCGCTCTTCTGCCTCCAAGTCTCGCTGGAGCCGGCGTTCCTCCATCTGCAGAAAGCGCTCCTCCATTTCCCGCTGTGCAGTTAAAGTCTTCAACAGCAGAGCATCCACAGGGTCTTTCAGCCGCTGGCCTTTCCTTTTCTTCCGCAAGCGGTGCAAAGTAGAAAAACCAGACCAGGGCCCTAGACTTTGGAGCCGAGATGAAGAAGCTGCATTGGGTTCACTGAAACCTAAGAGTAAACAGATTAAGAATAATCAACCCTACCCATTTCTTTTTGGCAAAGGTCAAGCTTGCTGGAACGATTATGTACTGCCCTCCCTTAATCATCCGAGCCCTTAGCAGACTGTCAGAGTAAATGAGTTACTTCACTAATGAATATTGAGAAATGTGCATTTTTCTTTATATAATAGATAACATATGTTGCACAGACACAAGAATGCAGCTGAATTTCCACCACACACTATATCATAAAATATAATGACAAATTACAGCAGCTGGCTTTGCTGAATACACTAAATTATAAATGAGCAAAGCCACATTTTAGCTTAGTGTGTCATACAAATCTAGCCACCATCCCCTCCAGCATTTCTCCTCAGACCAAGAATATTGTAGAGCTCCATACTAACTCAATATGCAAAATGGCAGACCTGCCACTTTTTAATTCTATATACAGGCTAACAGATATACATATCCAAAGTATCGAAAGGTTTAGAGAGATCCCAGTCACAATTATAAGTGGTTCCAAGTAAAGGATTAGGGACATGTAACAGATTCTAATACTCATAAGACCTATTAAAAATAGTAATCTAAGTGAATTCATCTGCCTTAGCTAAGGAACTTCCATCGCCATGTGGAGCTCATCCTATAGAAGTGTACTTCAAGAAAGTTTCTCTTCCAGCTTAATTAATATTTGCTGCTGAATGGAGGGCAGAGCTCATTTTACGTCTGAATGCATTACTCTGGGTATACTGCACAGAAGTGTGCTGCCCATCATTTGAGATCATTTGGGACCATCACTCTCTCTAAACACCTGGCTGAATATTAGGAATAATATATTATGTGAGGCAGGGGAGACCAAGCTGTTGTCAACATTCATTCTCGAGTATACAGTCCAGTTTGTGGGGTCTCATTGACAGCACTCAGTCTGCATTTTGTTTTTAATCTAGTGTTATAGATCCCACCCTTGATGTATCAATATAGTTCAGGCAATAAGCATTTTAATAAAACTTATCAATTTAAAAAAAAAACTACCAGTTTGTTGGCTGCTAAGCAAGCTAATAAGATAGGCTGAATCTGTATTTCCACATATACTTACAGAATAGAAGAGGCAGCAACAGGAAAAGATACTTGGAGAAGCACTGAGACTTGTCTGCTTTCTCCATTCATATCTCTGGAATCATAAGTTACTATAGAAACATGGAGAATCCTGGTTCACATTAAGCCCTGGGGTAAATGTAGCATATCATTTTGAGGCCTCAGAAGGATAACGGTGATTTCCTAAAACATTGTTAAATGTGCAGTTCTATCTGAAACATACACGTCAGCTCTACAGATTCTAAGACCCAATGACTTCCAAGAGATGAAAATTGATGCATAAGAAAATATTTGCCAAGTAACTATCTTCTTTTATAAATTCCAGTGCTTTTCTCCCAACCAAAAATAGCTCCTCATTTCCTAAATGGTTCTGGCGCCAAGCAATCATCTTCTGCTGAGATTGCTAAAAGAAAGTCCCAAAGAACACTGTTCCCTCTTGGTCTAAAAATAATAAAAGAGCTCCATCAATCCATGGTCAATGATACTACTCTAAGTCTCTTCTGCTTTAACAAACCCTACTCTGTTCAGGTGCTCTTGTGGACTTGGAAAAAAACGAATGAAGAGAACAGTACAAGAAACTTACTTTGTGACTGCTTATATAGACTTGAAGGTGTTTAAGTAACTAAGTATATTTGCTTGGTGGAGTTTAAACCTCCAGGGTACTTTTGACTTGTAATCAGAATTAATTGGTCTTTATGAGATCCAAAGCAGTTTACGTCTGTCCTGAATTCACTTAAACCTCAGTTTTAAATACTGTCTGTCATGGTTTAAAGCTACTGTTTGCACATCAACGAGGACACACAGCAAAGGTCAGTTTCCAAGCATGTTTCAGTTGTGTGACCTAAATTATTTTGGATAAACTTAAAAATATTTCTAGCAACAAAAGTCACTCATCCACTTACCATAGAGTATTTTGAAGGTCACATTTGCTATTTCATCATTTCACTCCCCAAAAGAAGCTAATGTGGGAAAGGCTTGGACAGCACTGGAGCGGGGGAGGGAGGCTCCCAGCCTCCACTCTGTCTTCATCCACTGGGTTCTACCTCTGAGTGTTGTCAATGCCACTTTAAGAAGGGAAAGTAGTGAGTCTTCCTGTTTCACCCACTCTGGATAACTGTGCAGGAAGATCAAGTCCTGCTGTTTACCCATAGTACAGCAAAGTGGATAGGCAACAGAAGGAGTCCACAGCCTGACTACCCTCTGGACAGCAGAACAATGAGAATTCCTCCAGGGCCCCAAATTCTCTGAGCACAGGAGAGAAAGTGAAATGGATTTCCATCACCAATTCTCTGCATAGCAAGCCAACATCACTTCTTGCACTGTGGTCCCGTTTCTCTTTGCCCCAGTGTCCAACTGAAGGAAAGAAAGGAGGCAGAGAAACGTTCCCTACAAATAGCAGAACTCTAAGGAGGAAGTACTGGGGAGAGAAGAAAGATGAATGGAGTGGGCAGAAGTGTCCCTCCCTTGTTCTTTTTCAGTCTCCATTGCAGGACCCTGAAAAAGAGGATTACAATTTACTGTGTGCTACTTGACTGTTTCCCATCACCCAAGCCAGCTTGGCAGATGCCCACTTAACAGGACATGCAGTTAGGTCCTGAAAAAAAGGTTCAGTCATTCTCTTCAGGGCAACAGCATTTCAGGCTGCAAGAAGGTGGGAAGCCTGGGGAAACCTTTCACAATGACATGTATCTCTGTGGGCAATGCAACCCATGCAGGGGCTGTATGGTTCCCACCACCCAGCCTTCCTTCTGGTCCTTCAGATGTGCTTATAAAGTTCCCGGGATTTGGCCTCTGCTCAGTCTCTTTCAGGAGCAGAGGAGAGGCCCTGCCGGTTGGCCTGATTCGATCTGGCATTCCTACCTGAAAGGGAGACAGTGGTCTCAATGGGGATCTCCACCCTGGAGATGGGAGAGTCATTCTGGGACCTCTCCAGGAAGGCCCTGTCTATCTCGTGCTCCTCAGCAGAGCCCCCCGGCTGGTAGGTGAGAGAAGGCAGAGGCTCAGGCGTCAAGCACTGGTCCTCTGAATCCACCTCCTCGCATTTGATCTCCATCAGCTCCGGGGGCTGAGCGGGCGGGAAGGCCAGCGCCGAAGAGGGGCCCAAGGGGGGGTGGAAGCTCTCTACCCCCCCGCCAGGGAGCCCTTGCTGCGCCAACACGTAGCCGCCGCCGCTGCCGTTGCCGGCGGCGCTGTAGGCGAGCGGAGGCCGGCTGGCCAGGACGCGGTCC